AAGCATTATTTTTAGTTCTGTCCTTGGTTATAGCTCAAATGTAATTTGGGATGCTCCTCGGTGATTTTCCTTTTTTTTTTCTTGTGCCTGGTTTTAGCCGTTTACTAAATATGATAGAACTGCCTTCTTTATAATGACCAAGTTAAGGCAGATAAAAGGGGGAGGGCATGAATAAAAAGACAGATAAATGAACTGCCTTATTCTTTTGCTCCCAAAGAATAAAGGAATGAAAAATCCTTTTAAAGAATTTATAAAATTCACAAGAAAACTAAAATGGCACAATCAATACCCACCTGCCCTCTCCTAGATTCATCAATTGTTAATATTTTGCCACATTTCCTAACATTTGCTTTATCTAAATCTCTCTGTACTGATACCTATATATACTTATTTGCTGGAATGTTGAGAGTAAAATTAAAATATCATAACAGTATATCCTAAATACTTCTTCATGAGTCTCCTATGGATAAGAATGTTCTCTTACATAACCACAATATTATTATCACACTCAAAAAAAGTTTGACTTTGTCTTAAAGTCAGCTGATTAGAAAAAAAGAAATTTAACGTTGCGAGAATGATTTTTATCTAATATGTAGAACATTGAATGACTTACTCTTAAAAATCTGTCAGGAAAGAGATTTGCTCTCTAATCTATCCCAATGGTTAACACATCTCTCTTTAAGATAATGATACCTTATATTTTTGAGACATTTTGAAAATTCTGATGAAAGCTCTGGGACCTATCTTCAGAAAAATATTCGTAAAGACTGTACCAGTTTGAGACATGTTAGGAACTGGGCCGCACAGCAGGAGGTGTACAGTGGGGAGCAAGCAAAGCTTCATCTGCATTTCCGGCCACTCCCCATGGTTGGCATTACTGCCTGAGCTCTGCCTCCCGTCAGATCAGCATGAGATTCTCATACGAGCACAAACCCTATTGCGAACTGAGCATGCAAAGGATCTGGGCTACATGCTCCATATGAGAATCTAATGCCTGATGATCTGTCACTGTCTCCCATCACCCCCAGATGAGACCATCTAATTGCCGGAGAACAAGCTAGGGCCCCCACTGATTCTACATTATGGTGAGTTGTATAATTATTTTATTATCTATTTCAGTGTAAGAATAATAGAAATAAAGTGATGTAAGAATAAAGAATAAATATAATGTGCTTGAATCATTCTGAAACCATCAACCCTGCACCTGCTCACCCACCTTCCATGTTTCCATTGTCTTCCCTGAAACTGGCTGCTGGTGCCAAAAAGATCGGGGACTGCCGCATAAAGACACTTACACTGGCCAAGAATACACACATCTTGGCTGCTTCTAGGTTGTATTGTTCACATTTAATCTAAATTCTCCTCCTTTGTATACATACAATTTAAGGCCACAGTACTCGAAAAGGATGGAGAATGGTTTGTCTTCACCTTCCAACATTATGTTTTGTGTTCATGAACCTTCATTTCAAATGACAGGCAGGTGGGAGATCAAAGTATCCCCAACATATTAAAGGAAAGCAGAATCACAGATAAGGCTGGCAGTTGCACTATGACAGACACCCAGTAGGTGGACTAAATGACTAGAAGACCTGCAGGTATACTTCCACACTTGAGCTTCTCTGATTCTGCAAGCCTATACTTGCTTTCTTGATAATTTGCTTTTAAAAACTAAATACCCGTAACCAGGAATTACAGGAAATACAGGTATTTCCATTAGGGTTGGTACAACATTTAAGGACCTTATACCTAAAGATAGAATTTGTTGGTAATTACGAAGATATTTAGTTTTATCAACAACAAATTGCCCAATTCAGTTACAGTTCTAAGACTGGGAAGTGGGAGCAGGAAGGTAGATACATATTAGCAAATTAGGGTAACATTAAATGTCCTTAATTAAAAGGCCAACTGAAGCTGCCAAGGTCAAGCCGTACCTTGGGCTCTATTTTGTGAACTGTGACCTCGCAAAGAGAAGTCATTAGCTAACCGTACTCCAACATATGTGAGCTTAACACTGGTGAAGAGGAACACTGGTTCCTCTCCATATACTGACTAAAGAAAATGAGAGACATTTCTAGTTCAGTGAGAAAAATGACCAAGTTGGCCGAAATATAAGCACAAATGTATAAATACCTAATGCTATGATCTAGCACAAATTCTAATGTCTGTTTTTTTCCCCATAATGCACCAAATGCCCTCAAAATTACTTTCTATAAAACTTTAATATTATAGAATCATATCACTTACTAATTAATGATTAGTATAATTCTTGAAAGGAAGGGTAACAAAAAGCTAGTTAAGCCTCTGGGAGGCCTGTGGGATTTATAAAAGTCTTACAGAGCTTTGAAAGGCTAAGAATTCACAGAGTATGGAACAATCAGCACTAATTGTGAAGGATAAACTTCTTATCCGTCTGCTTTTACTGTGGCTATGAAAAAGTGGATTTTTCTTGAATTTAGCTAAGTAATTGTTAAGCTCTTTGACTCTGGCTTAAGATACCTTGTTTAAAAAAAAAAAAGTTTATCAGCATAAAATAGCACACAAAACAATGAACATTTGCCACAGGCTAGTTCACTCTCTCGACTTATTTCTAATGCCAGATCCCATCATATTACATCAAGCAAGACACCCTTTCAGCATTTTCCCCTGATTTTTAATAAAATCACACAAGGTAACTCAGTATAATTCGTCATTAAAAAATCAGTATGGGCACCATGGCTCATACCAGTAATCCCAGCATTTTGGGAGGCTGAGATAGGAGGATTCTTTGAGCTCGGGTGTTCGAGACCAGCCTGGGCAATAGAGTGAGAACTCATCTCTATGAAAAATGTTGAAAACTTAACTGAGTGTGGTGGCATGTTCCTGTAGTCCCAGCTTCTTGGGAGGCTGAGGCAGGAGGATCACTTGAGCCTGAAAGTTGAAGGTTGCAGCGAGCCATGATCATGCACTGCACTCCAACCTGGGTGGCAGAGCAAGACTGTCTAAAAAAAAATAAAGAAAAAGAAAGAAAAGAAGAAAAGTGCAAGTGAAAAAGCACAATGACATCGCATCTTCTCACTTGTAAGTGGGAGCTAAGCTATGAGGATTGCAAAGGTATAAGAATAATGCAATCGACTTTGTGAACTCAGGGTAAAGGGTGGGAGGTGGGTGAGGGATAAAAGACTACACTTGAGTATAGTGTACACTGCTTGAGTGATGGGTGCACCCAAATCTCAGAAATCACCACTGAAGAACTTATTCATGTAACCAAACACCACCTGTTCTCAAAAAACCTATTGAAATAAAAATAATTAGAAAATTTTAAAGAAAGAAATAAAAAGAAAAAGAACCATAATGAGCTACTCCTTCACATCCATTAGAATGGCTATAAGTGCAAAGACAATAACAAATGTTGGGGAAGATGCGGAGAAACAGGAATCTTCATTCATTGCTGGTGGGAATATTAAAATACAGCCACTTTGGAAAACACCTTGGCAGTTTCTTTAAAAGTTAAACAGAAATTAAAAGCAGAATCCAGCGATGCTACATATAGGTTTTTACCCACTAGAAATGAAAACACATGTCTACACAGACTTGCATGTGAATGCTCATGGCAGCATTATCCATAGCAGCCAAAATTGGAAACAACCGTAATGTCTGTTACCTGGTGAATGAGTAACAAAGTCTAGTATATTCATACAATGGAATACTATTCAGCAATTAAAAAAAAGAACAAAATACTAAAACAGCTGTAACATGGATGAACCTCAAAACACTGTATTAAATTAAAGAAGTCAGACATAAATGATCACAGAGTGTATGATTCCATTTATATGAAATGTCCGGTAAAGGCAAATCTATAGAGAAAGTAGATGAGTGGTTTTCTGGTGCTGGTGTTAAGAAAGGGGATTAACTATAAAAGAGCAAAAGGAATCTTATTGGGGTGATGAAAATACTCTAAAACTAGATTATGGTGATGATTGCATAACCTGGTAAGTTTACTTAATTCATTGAACTGTGTACTTAAATTTTAAGTTTTTAAGTGGTATATCAATAAAATTGTTTAAAAAATACACCTGAGCTTCTCAAGACCTTAAAAAAAATTTACAGCCTCAGAATTTCAGCAGTCTTACTTCTCTCCAATTCTAAGAGTGTAAGTTGTGTATCATAGGAGAATATTTCAGACACAAAAATGTTTATCTCTCCCAAAAGCTCCAGAAGAATTACTATGAATTCAACTTGTACGGTTTTGTCTTACCTGTTTGATGCTTACTTTTAAAAAGGTATTATTCTTAATTGACACATAATAATTGTATATATTTCTGGAGAACAGTGTGGTATTTTAACACATGTATACAATGTGTAATGAGTGAGTCAGGGCAACTGGCATATTCATCACCTCAAACATTTATGATTTATTTGTGTTGGGAACATTCAAAATCCTTTCTTGTAGCTGTTTGAAAATATGTAATTTTCCAGAGATATTTCAAATAAAAAAAGAAAATACACAATAAATTATTGGGTTTTTTTTTTTGAGATAGAGTCTTGCTCTGTTGCCCAGGCTAGAGTGCAGTGTGCAGTCATGGCTCACTGCATCCTCCATTTCCCAGGCTCAGGCAATCCTCCTGCCTTAGCCTCCCTAGTAGCTGGAACCCCAGGTGCCACCATCACACCCAGCTAATTTTTAAAAATTATTATTTGTAGAGATGGGGGTCTCCCTATGTTGCCTACGCTGGTCTCAAACTCCTGGCCTCAAGTGATTCTCCTGTCTTGGCCTGCCAAAGTGCTGGGATTACAGCCATGAGCCACGGTGTCTGGCCATAAATTACTGTTAACTGTATTCCCTCTACAATGTTATAGAACACTAAAATTTATTCCTCTTATCTAGCTATAATTTTTCATCAGATGCTAAAGGGAAACAGATGATGTGTGTACAATTTGTGGTAGTAGCCTAATTGGAAGTGTAAGAAATTTTATTTTAACACTGCTTTTAATCCTGATTTTCCCTCTTCATGTTCATGCAGGACTATTCCCTGAAATAACCAGGCCCTTTAAAAAGTCATTTGATGTCAAGCATGGAGTGGTAAGTCCAACGTTTCTCAGTGATCACTTACCTGTAGAGAGCTTAAATTATTGTATACTGCATATTATTCGTTAAAAAAACAGAAGGGGTTAAAATTTTAAAAAACAATATTCACCAAACATTTATTCCTGAGTGCTTATTTTGTGTGTAGCTTTCTATTAGGTTATAGGAACACAACAATAACCAAGGTTACAAATTGTGAACAACTGATGATACTGTGCTTTTATCATGATCACCAACTTCTCCTCTTTCCCATGCAGAGGAAAAATTATTGTATACTGGCAGTTAAAAATAACTGTCCTCTGATTGTAAACATTCAAATAATACAGAGTAACACAGTAAAGATTATCTAAAATTCTTTCCCTTCCCCCAGGGACAATCACTATTTTCATTTCAGTGAACATCCTCATAAATGTCTCTCTATACTTATGTATACATAAGGATACATGCATACACACAGTCTATTGATGAGATCATACTGGACACTGTCCTCTGTAACCTGCTTTTATCCCTTAATATTTTCATGGGCATCTTTCAGTGTTTATCAACATAATTATTTGTTATCATTTTTAATGGATACATAATATTTTATTAACTGACTCCATTACAATTTAAAAATATGCCATAGACCGGGCACGGTGGCTCAGGCCTGTAATCCCAGCACTTTGGGAGGCCAAGGCAGGTGGATCACCTGAGGTCAGGAGTTTGAGACCAGCCTGACCAACATGGTGAAACCCCATCTCTACTAAAAAAAAAAAATACAAAATTAGCTGGGCGTGATGGTACGTGCCTGTAATCCCAGATACTTGGGAGGCTGAAGCAGGAGAGTTGCTTGAACCCGGGAGGTGGATGTTGTAGTGAACTGAGATCATGCCACTGCACTGCAGCCTGGGCAACAAGAGTGAAACTCTATCTCAAAAAAAAAAAAAAAAAAAAAAAAAAAAAAAAATATATATATATATATATATGTATATACACATATGCCATATAAGGAGGCATTTAAGGTTTTCTAACTTATAACTACTGTAACCCATGCTGTGATCAACAAAATTTGAATATACGTTTTTGCAGCTGTAAAATCATCTCTTCAGGGGTTCGCATAAGAGGAATTCTTGGGTCAAAAGTATACTTATTTTACAAATGCCCAAACTGCCTTCCCGAAAATTGGCTTCGTGCCCCAGTAGTGCGTGAGAGTGCCTGTTTTCCTATATCCTCTCTAACACTAGCTTTAAAATACAATCTTGATGTTTTCCAACTTGATAGATGAAGATAGCTCAATTTTCTTTTAATTTTATTTATTAGTGAAGTCAAGCATCTCCTATGTTTATTCATCATTCATAGTTCTTTCATGAATTGTAATTGATTCTCACTATTTGTGGTTATATTTTGTAAAATCACCATGAATACTGAATTAAGGAATACTGAACCATTTTTCCTAAAGGAAATATAAGGTTAGATTCCTGGGAGCCTCCAGTCACTGCATCTTTGCCGACTGATCAATATATAATTTTGTTTTTACGTATGTTTCTGTTTAAAGACACTTAATATATGTTGTTAATTTATTAACATTGAACTCATGGCTAACAGCATTATAACTAATGCCAGAATGGAGCTTAATTAATTTACAAATACATTTTAGCAAGTAGGTGAATTTGCAAATACAAATTCGTGAATAATTATATTTGAATGATAATGATAGTATATTTCCTTTGTCCATTTTCCTACTAGGGTGTTTAGCTTTTTTAAATTGATTTGCATATGGTATTTTCATATTAGAATTGTACTCTTTTGTCTATATTTTACTGTTATTGTTTGTTATTACAGTGGTGGCTTTTTTTTTTTTTTTTTTTTTGAGACAGGGTCTTGCTGTGTTGCCCAGGCTGGCCTTGAACTCCTGGGCTTAAACAATCTTCTGCCTCGGCCTCCCGAGCGGCTGAAACTACACTGCACTCACAGTGGTGGCTTTTGACAGCAGTATCAGTGCTTTCTGAATGCAGGGGTGGGGAGGAGCAATGTTGGGAAAATGAATTTTATTAGATTTCTATTATTATGAAAGTGGTTGGTATTTATTTCTATCTCTTTTTTTTATAGGCACATCAAATTTGGGATTTTGGTGATTGTTTTCCAACACCTCCAAATTATGGAAAATACTGTAAGTCCCATCCTAAACTACTACTTTATATCCATTTTCTGGCCTTTATTTTAATAGTGGTCTTCATGTGATATTTCCACACCTTTTGCGTTTCTGCTTCCTTCCTCCTGGCACCCACATTGTTACATCATTTTATCTCTCCTAACAATACAAAAGGTAGGATGCAGAAATAACAGGAGGGAGAAATGCAAGAGGCATTTGCCACTCATTCTGGTGGCAGAGGCAGGGGCTGCATATGTAAAGATTTGGATCTATTGATTTAAAACAATGTTTGGGAATGTCAGGAAATTTCACTTATGGTAGACTCTGTTTATCACAAACACTCATATATTGGCTATCTCTTCACCCTAGGTGTAAGACCTAAAAAGCTAGCCCAGGAGGCCCTGATAAACTACAGTCGACGAGGGAAAGGTGTCCTAAAGCATGTAAGCATCTTTCTACTTGCCCTACAACAGTGGATCTCTGGGGGAGAGTCAGGAAGTGGGGTTCTGAGTGTCTCTACATGGCAGCAGGGGTGGTGGCCTGTGTATGTTTAGAGTTGGTATAAAAGTATTCCCTAAGTTACAATCAGGCAAAAAGCGGAGCTGTTCTGGTAAGATAAAGTCTTTCTTAAAGCATCATGAATAGTTTCTTGGGTGGATCTCTCCACAGCTGTTTTGGAAACAAGCCCTTAAGAGGCTTACAGCAGTTGGAATTTCTATTGTACTGTCCGAATTTTCTTCGGTGAGTTGCTGGGTTCTGCCTGTTGTGAAAAAGGGAGTTCTCCGATAGTCCTGCCCTGCCGCGTATGCACCCTGGGTGCCCAGTGGCCGGAGTTTCCCTCCCCATGTGCCCGTCCTGCCACCCATCATCTACCATCCCTGCTTCCCCGAAATGACCCTCCAGACCAGGGATTCTCTCCTTTCTGATTAGACTTTCTCAAAACCCAGGGCTTTTAAACAGATTGTTAAAATGGGATTCTTTTTATGTCTTAAATTTCTAGCAGAGACTCTTAGAGAGTAAGTTGAAAGAAAGAATAAAAACTGGTTTCTGCATAGAAGTTACAACTATTTTTGCTATTCTATTACTTTATTAAGATTTCTGTTTAACTTAAAAAAAACTCAGACTCATCCAAAGTAATTATGTTCATTATACCATGGGTTTGATATTCTCGTTATGTGTGTTAGGGGAAAAAAAAAAAACTCTGACCATTAAAGTAAAAAATGTTATGCAAGTACTACCTAACAGTATCACAAGAACCACCAGTTATACATACATTTCACTTTGGAAATGCTGGTCTTTGGTCATTAACTAGCAAATCTGATACATTTCGCTAATGGGAGAGGGTTGAATGACCCGCGCTGGTTCCCAGGCGACTTGTCTATTTTAATGATGGTCTTCCAGAAATGGTGCAGTTTTTCTCGACTTTTCTGCTTAGGACCTGATAATGTTCCCAGGGAGCATTTCAAACATGGAAAGCCAGTGCGGTGGCAGACTGTGGAGGGAGTTGTTTGGGGGTGTTTGTAGCTGTGTGATCCCCTGAAAGTTATATTGTGTGGTCAACCAGGGACATCCCTTCACTGTAGGGTTGATGCCTGCTTCTAGGAAGGGTAGATGATTTCCTGAAAGTACATTTACTGAAAGCTGGCCTCTTGGGAGTTGCTTGGGAGAATCATTAACTATTGTTAAATAAATAAATCCCGCTTGCCTACATGGAATTGTACTGGTGCCAAGCAATTCCATTGCCAATCAGTGTCTGCAGCTGTTCTGGGGGAACAGTTGCTTCTCTCTGTAAGGTTCTTCCCCAACCCCTCCCAGAAAGGGAATTCTCTATACTCAAAGTAGCCGCTTTTAAGTCAACCATTCCCAACAAATAAATGACATTACATCCTGCTCTTGTTTTTGTGGTGCAATAATAGACTAAAAGTACATGCATGTGCACACACACACCCCCCACAATTAATATGCGGCGCATATTTGGAAAACCTTGGACCTAGAGTCCTGACAAAAGAAAAAAATAAATCATGACTTTTTATTTATGAGACAAGGCAAATCTTAATATTTTTAAATTTTATACTTTGAAGGAGAACAAGCACTGAGATATATAAATGCCCGATTTCCTGCATCAAAGCAATAAGTAGAGATTGAATGAAATTTTCAACGATCATTAACACTATTCTTAGTTTTGAAAGTACTTGCTTGCTGGGTAGTGCCTTTGGTAACCATTCTCTAAGTATTTATATTCCTGTGTCCTATCTTGAAGAAGTTCCTGATGGAAACTGGAAAGCAGAGCATTCACATCCAGGAATGTGGGGACTAGAGGAATTCGGGAAACCTGGAAAGAATCTTACCAGAGAAGCAGTGGGGGCTGGTTAGGGATTGCAAGAGTTCCTGCCCTTTTTCTCTCCCGCTTTATTAATCTGGCCTTCCTGAGAGAGATACAATATATTAAACAGGAGGGTTAAGAGAGATGGAAGAAAATGCAGGATCAATCCCATCTCCTGCTCCTGAATGATGTCTGGTTTGGAAGAGACCATTTAATTCCCAATTCTGTGGAAAAGTGACCTTTGCAGATGAGCGAGTGTTGACAACCAGCCCATTTTTCTCCAGCTTCATGGACGGTGCGATTCTGAAAGCAAGGTTGGCTCATCTGAGGATTCAGAAGCTGATCGATACTCTGATTATGGCTGGGGAGGACCCTCATCGCCATTTAACTGAGTTGGAAAACGAAGCCACAGTGCTGGAGGCGTGGAGTTTGCTTAATAAACAACTTTGAGGTATGGGGCCCCCCCAACACCCCCCTGCCCAGGAACATCTGGACCCTGGCAGGTTGGCTTTCTGGGACAATTCCATGGGCTTCATTTCTCAATTTGTTCCCTTTTTAATTGGTGGTGAGAGACAAAACTTGTTATAATCTTTATTAAACTTTCCTTTTTAAATAGATACTTGGGACCACATTTATCCACAGGAACCACAGAAATGGTGCTGCGGCCCCGACCGTCGTGGGCTCCGGCGTCACAGAGCCTGTCCCTTGTATCTGGGAGCCCCGGGGAAGGGCGCAGGGGCGTGAGAAAGGTTCTTTGTATTCAGAGCGGTCACCCAGCAGAGCCGGAGCCTTCCACCGCCAGGTTTTCCTCCGCGCAAGGCGCCGCCGGGAAGCCAATTGGCTTCGACCGTCGGGGCGGGGTCGCGGCCCTCCCGCCCTGGCTGTCTCGGTAGGCTGCCCGCGCCCCCGGAGCCGCGCCCACGGCCCGCCCACCCGCCGCCTGCCCCTCCCCTCCTCCGTCCGCCTCTTCCCGCTCCTCCCGGCCCGCCGGAGCGGCCACCTCCTCCTTCCTGCACGGCCCACCTCCTCTCTCCGCGATCCTCTGGCTCTCTCCACGATCCTCCTCCCCTAGCGTCCACGGGCCGCCTCCACCGCCTACGACCCTCCTCCTCTCTTCGCGACCCTCCTCCTGCTGATTTCTCCCCGCTACCGCCCGCCTCGTCGTCCCCGCGGAGCGCGCGGGAGGAGGGACCGGGAGGGCCAGGGGCTGCGCGGTGACCCGGGGCGCGGGAAGGAGCCCGCTGCCGTCAGGCCCGCAAAGGGCCCCGGCAGCCGCCGACTTCCGAGGAAAGGCAGAACGGTGTTTGGTTTACTGAAGTAGCCACCTCCTACCCCCTCTTCCTCCCCAGTCCCCGCTTTCTGCCCCCCACACCCCCTTCCATTTACTCCCAGTTACCAAGACCGTCCTTCTCTTAGGATTTTTGTTGAATAGAAAATACAATTAAAAGTCTCAGCACCACCCCTGCCTCCCGTCCCCCAAACTCCTAGTGATTATTTTTGTCTCTTAGCCCTAGGTTGGGTTAAATACATTCCCCGGGAGCCATCTGGTCTGATTCCCGGCAACCTTCGTATGGTTTCCATTAGGCTCTCCAAAAGCATGCGTTGAAAAGGCAGCCCTGCAGCCACTCAGGAATCTCCGGAGTTTTGCCCTGGCCAGCCCCTGTAGACATCTCAGGCAGTAGGAGAGAAAGGCCTTTGTTAAGGTTCCGAGTCTAGTACCTCATGATCCAGGTTTTAATCTCTTAACTTCCTGGCTTTTCCTGGTCCAGTAAAATACAGTTCTCTAAGGTAATGGTTATCATTAATTCATCATTTGTTTTTTACTATATGCAAGGGATAGCTGATTAGAATTCTGTTTTAATTCTAAAAATGAAGTCTTAATAGCTTTACAGATGAGTTGCAACAGTAACCTGGCCGCAGAAGTTCAATTTGACCAGCAGCATTGGTGTGGTGGGGTCTACACCTTCTTGCTTGTCTATCCCCCATTCCTTAATCCCCAAAAGGCAAAGAGCAAATGTTTGCTTGTGGAAACATATTCCCTCACACGTGGGTTAGGGCTTGTATCCAAGAAAAAGGGAACCGGCAGGTTCATAGACTCAGAGTGTTGTAACTAGAATGTTCCTTAGGATTCATCCGAGATGTATGTCCATTGATTGAGGACACTCAGAAAGTGGAGGGGCTTCGGGAAGGTCACATGACTGATGAGTACTGTACTGCGGCCTAATTTGGGGATGGGAGGGTGGGGAAGAGACCTGGGCATCAAATGCTTTATCATATACAGCAAGGAAGATTGTGATCAAATCAATTCATTAGTGGCACATCCTAGCTCTCCCCAGCCCCTCAGCTGCAGTCCCGTCTCTGTCCTGCTCTGTGCCTCCCTGTTTGGGGAGTTAGAGCCCTTTGCTTTTCTTCCTATTTCCCCACTCCCGCCCTGCCCGTGTGATTTTTATTTGGGTTTTTAAAACGAAACCAGGTGCTGCATAAAACAAAAGCAAAGTAATAACAAGGAAAGACTATCCAACCCTTGAGGAATGTGCTGAGTTTTATGACTCAGGCTGTCCTGGCAAAGGGCTTGGGCTGACAGCGAGAGGTGGGTGGCACAGAGCACAGACCATACATGGCAGCCCTGGCCTCCCCAGATAGGCATGGCCAAGGCAGCCTGTGACTCATTTCACAAAACCAGAGACTCTTGTTCTTTGTGGAGCAAGACTTCCCGGAGGCTAAAGCAAGATGATCATCAACTTTTCTCCTAGAGCTCCAGAGCCAGTTCAGTCTGATAAAGCAGGGGCCACCCCGGAGTTTGGAGGGGAACAGAGCCCAGGCACAAGGCCATCCCTGGGAAAGAAACAGGCTTGATGGACTTGGGCAAGGGCTTTGGTGCAGTCAGCAGATGAGTAACATGGAAGTTGCAACGTGACATGAAAATTAGCATGTATTGTAGTGGAGACAATGGCTTGAGAGTTCCAGGTCGCTGGACTGCCACAGTGCCTTGGAGAAGGGGACTGTTGGAGTGCTCCTAAGCCCGGAGGAGGTGTTTGCTCCTCCTGAGTGCATGGAGCACAGGAAAAGCTTGTCAGATGCCAGTAAGGTTTCCGAGGTGCCATTCCTCATGCAATCAGGAAGAGTAACTACGGGCAAAAGTAGTAGACTTTGCATAAACACCCAGAGAGCCACCCAGACACACATCCTCACATTCTGAGAATTCTTTTCAAATGAGCATAGTAATGGGGTGAGGTGTACATTTTTTCTGTTACTAAGAGACAGACTGGGAGAGTGAGAGTGCAAAGGAGAATGTCCCTCCTAGCAGAGGTGGTGGGAGGGGTTGGAATTTGGGTGACAAGCATCTGTTTGCGCCCCCTTCATTACACAGGCCTGGGTGAAACGGGACTGATAGGGCTTCTTCTGGTTTCTGCTTCTGGTTTCTTCTTCCCAGAGAAGGCTGTCACTTTTTGAATGAGAATGAACTTTGACTGGCATAAATGATATCTCTGTGCAGAAGCCCCATGGAACAGGCTCTTGTGTTTCCTTATCTTCTTTCTCTTTTTCCTTTCCATGGACTATCCATTGAAAAGCTATGGTGACTATTCCATAATTGCAGGCAAAGCTCTGCTTAACTTTTTCCTTAAAGTCTACTTACCTGGAAAAATAAAGTCTTTTAAGGACGATGACTTCATAAATATTTATAGTGGGAACAGGCGTCACTCTGGTTCTGCGAGAGAATGGGCTCATTCAATTTTATTTATGATGTGACACTTGGGTGAGTGACATCCGTCATCTGGGTCGGCCCTACACTTTGTTCCACTGAAGCATGTTTATGGAGTGATTATGCCTGCAAATATTTGCTATATTTAGGCCCTCTCCTCCCCTAACCCCCTCTTAGCCTTCTTAAGTCCCCAAACCAGCAAAAAGCCAAGATGTGGTCTGGAAGGTTTGAACCCTAATGACAAGGCACAGGGGCTTGAACACGTGCTGTAGAAGGATTTGATGAATTGGGAGGCAATTAGAGTGGGAACGCTGTTACTGTAGCATTCCTATATTCAGGAGGTTTTGCTGTCCTGTATCTAGCAGGTGAGGGCTCTCAGCTGGGCATGAGGGGTTTTGACAGGTGACGAGCACAGCCCTGAGTGACGAATGTAGAGGGATGCTTTTGAAACTCTTCCCTTCCCAGGGAGCTTTCTCCGGACAGGATCTCACAGGCCCTCAGATCTGTCACCATGCACTCCAGGGCTCTAGGGGCGGGACCTGATAGGGACTCTGTGACCTCAGCTGGGTCAAGGTCTGGGTGTAACCTGAGGCCTCCACTCAGCCACACCTGGTCCATGGCTGGGTGCAACAGCTGCCCTCCATCAGCTGCGGAGGAGGGAGGGCCTTCTCTGGCTTCCTGGCTTTCGAGTGCACATGTCCTGACCTAGGCATTTCAGGCTGGACTTAGACATACTTCAGGACTCAGTATTTGCTCTCCGATCGGCTTGGCGATCTATTGTTTATCCTGGGAAGGGCCAGGTCTTGGCACAGGAGCCTGAAGCGTTGCCAGTGTTTTATTTTTAGAGACAGGAAAATGTCTGCTTTTTGGCAGCTGCTCTTTTTCTGGCACACATCAGGGATGGTGTAAAAAAGTTCAAGTGAGAGATTCCAAGCCCTAAATTCATGGCCTATGACATAGGCAATAGCACCATGAGCCTCTCAACAGGCACCTTTGGGGAACCTAGGATCTGTCATTAGAAGGCCTCCTGGGCAGAATAGTGGCCTCCCTGACACACCCTGGTGGCGAGAGTCCTGTCTAGTTCAGAAACCTCAGAGCCTGAACATCTCTTGAGTTCCTTTTGAACGCATCAGCCCATCTGAACTATTATAGTTCTTCCCTCTATTCATCTCCTTCTCTACCAGTCCATAATCTAGTTCAACTTGGTAGCAGAGTTAAAAGAAAAAAAGAAGTCTGCTAAATTTCATGTTCATCAATCCTTCTTAAACCCAGTAATGTTGTCATCATAATGATTGTAGAAGCCAGCCAGTGTCCATGGCAAGAAATATCTTACTAGACTCAGAGATCACATTTCCAAGTTTTATTGGAATTAATATTTGTCCTAACATAGCCCTCTTAAAACATTTTTGTAGGTCCTGTGATTCTGGCTACTGGAAATTTATAGGAAAGCACTTTGTAAACTATAGTGACATATTATGCAAAGGTAAAATGGAATAGAAATAAACATAAATAATTATCAGTATCTTTTCTCCCCAACCTTTGGAAAAAGATTACTTTCTAATTACAAAAATAAAACATGAATGCATTCTCCTTTACTGCTTATAGCCCATGATTACCTTTTGGATTCATTTTTCTTCCTGCTGGAGCACATCTTTGGTGGATTTTCTTTTGCTTTTCCTCCCTTCTCCATCAGAGTGGGTAATACATTTTTCTAAGGGCTGGTGTGTCTGAGAAGGTATTTTGCTCTC